TCATATATGGCAATTCAGATGCATCGAAAAATGTGACAGCTTTTATTATAGGAAAAGACTTCTTTTTCCATATATTTGAAATCTTATCTACCTCAGAATTTTGCTCTTCCATAATTCTAAAATTCAAAAGCAAGGTTAATATTCTCCTAACTGTTGTCTATCTTTCATACAATATTAATGAAAGAAGATCAGGTGTTAGTCTTTTATGCCAAACTATTAGAATCACTGCAATATCCAAACTCCATTATATCATTTCAGGCGACTTCAATTCTTATCCCAAAAAAGCCCTATCAATTGAAGCTATAACATTTTTGTACAAACAATTAATTTACAATTACTTTAACAATTACATCGACATCAGCCAACAGTTTGATGAAAAAGCATTCACATACTTTACTTTCACAAGTATATCCTGTATCGATCAAGTGTAGGTATCCAAAAATCTAGTACCCAAAGTTATTTGGTATCAGGTTAGCAAATGCGATACTATTCCAACAGACCATTGATCAGTTACCATCAAACTAGACTAGTTTGAGTTCAAGAAAATCAAAACAATCTACAAATTGAATATTGACAAGACAACTAAAGAAAATATTGTTAACTTTACTAAAGACATTGAACTCTGGCTTAGTACATTCTCTTCCACATCCTGGGAGGAACTTAACAATATAATAAAAGACTCTATGATCAAATTCATCAAGAAAACCAAAGTGAATATTTCTAAAAAGAGTCAATACATCAAAGCAGAAAAAAATCTCAAAACACAGATCAGAAAAATTAATCAAGTCATAATTCTTATTAAAAAAAACAAATCTTCTATCTCACTAGATAATAATCTTATAGATCTATAACCAATGCAAACAGATATATCAGTAAAAGGTCTCAAGAAACTTAAAAGATTGTTATTTAAGAAAGGATTACTTCAGGTTCAATACAAACTTCTAGAAAAGTACTGTCTCAACTTCAAAACTATTGTAGAAAACTTTTACACCAAGCCAAAAAATTATATTGCCAGAATCCTTGGCAAAATCAAATCCAAAATTAATCTCACACAAATATATAACAACGAAAACCAAATCAAGGATGATCCTGAAGTCATAAAAGATATTATTAATTCCTACTTCCAAAACATCTTACGCCAGTGACCTTTTAATCTCCACAGATTTTCTAAGTGGCAAAAAACGTACAACCCTCTTCTGATAGATTAAGATCTATATTGTTGTCCTCAACAGTGAATCTGTCGCTACTTCGGGTCAAGACTTGTATCACGTTGGGGAAAGGGTCTATATTGCTGGTGATACCAAAGGTATGTGTGGTGATAATTATCTTAATCTTCCTCTAGGTTTAATTAGTCTTCTCTTCTAATCTCTCCTGTCAAGCTATAGGGTGGCGGATCCTTTCTAGGATGACTAAATAACAAATAAGGTAAGTTTATTAATTATCGTTGCACTGGTATAAGCAATTAGATTTCGCAAAATCAATATTTTATTAATTTTCTCGTCTCTTTTTCTGTTCTAGGTACATTGGCTATTTATACTATCGTGACACGTCTTTTTAATCTATCGTCGCGTCATGCAAAATTACTAAACTTCTACAAACTCGGCACCCATCAATCATGCATAATTGATACATAATCGATGCCCCATGCAGCACCGCGCTGGGCCTCACATGTCATGTCATGCCTCCTATTACAATTTTTATACTAACAATATAAAGAAGTATTCTCAATAATCGATCTGGCAACTCTTGAGTCCACTATTAAATCACTTCCAAAAAACAAAGCTCCAGGAAAATCAGAAATTAGCTACAAAATTATTCAAACTTCTAGACAAAAGCACCTATGAACCTTTCTGCAACATATTCAATTCCATTACTAACTTCACATCCATTTCTAATTTCTAAAAACAAGCCATCATCACACTAATCCTCAAGAAAATAACCTAAAGTCACAACCTAAATAATACATGACCTATATCTCTTGTGAAATCTGCAAAAAAACTTTTTATCAATATAATTAACAAAAGGTTCACCAAAACTCTCAAAAACAATCAAATACTATAAGATTTCAATTTTACCAGTCTTTCTGGCCAAAGCACTATGGAACTCCCAACTATTGTCAACTTAGCAATCCAAGCTGCAAATATTGATAATAAAGAATTCTGGTTTGCCTCTTTAGACATTGCCAAAGCCTTCGACTTTGCTTCAATCCCAGCCATCCAAAAATTATTTCAAAAAATCAACTGTCCAGAGAAGTTAATTCAACTTATTGTTAACCTATTTTCCAACAGAGTAATGTCAATTAATACTCCATTTGGACCAACGGAATCTTTTATGGTTAATAATGGAATAGAGCAGGGAGAAACTCTATCTCCAATCACTTGGGTCATTTTCTATGATCCATTAATCACCAAACTTTTCAATCACCCCAGAATAACCAAATACATTGCTTCCAATGCCTTAGTGTATATGGATGACCTGATATTAATTGCAGATACCAAAAACAAGATGGAAAGCCTCCTAGAAACAGCAAACTAATTTTTTCAAATTAATGGATTATTATGCAACAAGGACAAAACAAAAATAATCAACAATATTTTAATCAAAAACAGTATGTTCTATAGCATTATCTTCGACAACTACACAATTCAAGTTTTAAAACCTTTTGAGAGTGTGAAATACCTGGGCATCCAGATATCTTCATGTTATATGCTAAAATTCAACAGAAAAATCTTCAAAGAAACAACCAACAAAATTTTAAAAGAACTTACATATCAAAACTGGAAAGGGGAATCAAACAAAAAATTATTGAATAGGTCGTACTTGGAAAATTTAAGTATTTCTTATTCACTTTTCATCTCCACAAATCTTTCCTCAGCAGTCTACAAAGAAAAATCAACAAACTCATTAAGTTCTTATATAAGATATCATCAAGATGTTCCAACCTTATTCTAGTCAGCGAGAGAGGCTTAAAAATCTCTTTGCTTGAAGAAGGACAAAGATCATCCCTTGTAACTAACCTAATATCCAAACTTGCTACTCCATCAATCAGAAAATATCTCTATCAAGATATTATATCAATACAAAAAAGAGAATCAATATAGTTTTGTCCACTCTGCAACCTAGACAAATTCAACCAAGACAATTGACTCCTTAATACAACCCATGCAGCAAAAAACTTCAAGATCCAACTGTATCCTTTAGCCTGCATATTTCATAACAACAATGTCATAAGTTTTTAATCTATAATTGTTAAAAAAACTAGAGATTCTATCTATATATAATCTAATTGAAATTAAAAATAATTTGAATATTTAATATAAAAGATAAAATTTATAAAATTTGTTTTCTATATGTATTAAACCAAAAATATATATTTGAAGATTTAAAAGCATTATTTATTGTACTATTGACTTATAGGTTTAATTTATATAATTATAATATTATAATATATAAATTAAATAGTTCAAACAATTCAAGTTATTTAAAAAACTTAAATAAAAAAATATATTAATAATTATTATTTATATAATTTTTAATAATTTAATTTTTGAATAAACTTAAACTTATAAATTTTTCTTTAATTAATAAACTTAATAATTTATTATTAATAATTATAAAATTTATAAAAAAAATTTTTTTACTTTATTTAAATTATTAATAAAAGTTAAAAAATATTTATTATTTTTTAATTTATTTTAATAGAAATTATTATTAGAATAATAAATAATTTCATATAATCTTAAGTTTTTTAAAAAATCAATAACTTAAATATTAATTAAAAGAATTTTGTTTATATATATATTATATTATATTTTTTATATATTAGCTATTTATTCTAATAATTTGTAATTTTTTATTTTTATAATTTTTTTGTTTTATTATTATTTTTATTTTCTATATATGTTTTAATTTTTTAAAATTAATTATTGTTTTTTTAAATTTGATTTTGTTTATTATTAGAATTATTATTAGTTTTTATAATTTTTTTCTTTTATAAAAATTTAAATTATATTATATTATATTAAAAGTTGTATTATTAATTATTTTCTTTTATAATAATACAAATATACATATAATATCAAGTAATTTATTATATTTTTAATTTTTAATTAATAAGTAATTATATATTTTTAATCTTTATATTTAAAGATTATAAAAATTAAGTTAAATTATTAAATTATTAATAATATTATAAAAAATTATTTATTTATATTAAATTTTGAATTATTATTAGAGATTTACTATATTTTCAAATACTTTAAATCAAGTTTGAATTAGGTTTGAATCAAAATTACCATTTCTAAATATAATTAAAATTAAAGAAAGATAATAAATATATTATAAAAATTAGATTTAAAACTATATTTAAAAAATTTTAAATCATTAATATTATATAAAAAAAATTTTGCAATACAATAATTATAATATTTTTGAGATTAAAATTTAAAAATTACGTATAACAAAAATAGCCACTAATGAATAATATACTGTATAAAATAATAGGTTTATTAATGTAATAATATCTGTTTTTTAAGTCAAACATAACTATTTCTTTTAAAATATTAATAAACAACAACTTTTTCATATTGTTTCATGATTGAAATAAATTTTATTTTGAATCTTTTTATAATTATTATATGAATTATAATCAATATACAGTATGTTTATTAATATGTACTGTATATAAATCGCATAAATTTATGATTGCTGTTTAATAAAGGAATACATGGACAAGAAATTAAATAAGATCGAAGCATAATTACCCAAACACAATTCGTCTACTAACCAAAAATTACTAATTTTATTAATGATAGATTTCCATTTCCAGAAGTTTGATCGTCAGATCTCTGAATGCCAAGTTCTGCTCTTTCAGAATTTGGAATCGCTATTAATTTAATTTATTGTTTTTGATTTACAATCGATTCTAAATAAATTATTCTAAAATCTTTAATCCGTGGGCTATGAACTAAAAATACAGAAAATTATTGTGGCAAATAAAATCATGCAACCTTGTAGACAATCAAGTATTGTGGAATTGATGCCTCTTCCCTATATACCACCACTTCATCATAATTCAGATTACCAGTATCACTAGGTTCACCTAAAACACTATTATATCCTGGCGGCGGACTTGTTAACGTCATGTTGTCCCTTGTTAACGGATACCCTTTACCTACTACAACTTTATTTAATATCATCACTTTGTAATTTGTTCCATAATGATTTTTCAATGAACCCTCATTATAATCGTCTGATTTTGAAGAGGTACCGGAGAAATATATTCCTCTCCTACAATAAATTAAAAGCATAAATATCAAATAGATTAATTCGTGTGTAATTGGAAATTGAAATAGATTTCGTTCCTTAATGCTACAGAATGACGAACCCAAAACGCTGGAATGCAGCAGAAATTGTGCCAGTCCCCACGTAACGGAGTTTATACCCTTCCTTTATGATACAACAAACAGAACAAGATTTGTCGGCGCAAACCTCTCCAATTGATAAACCAATAAAACATGACCTAAAACAAAAATTTTATTAAAACATAAACAAGACATTAATGGTATAACCAAAACCATTTAGACTACGTACATTTTTGTTCCGTGAAAACGTCTTTGTTCATTTCCTGCGCTCATTAAACGTCTTCCATCTCCTTTCGGGAAGGGTTTTCCAGCCAATTGTTGCTCTTGTTCAACTTCTGCTCGATAAATATTGTAACGAGCATTAATATCTTCGGTGCAATATATCTTCCATACCGAATCAACCTCGGGAATGGATTTATGTGGATGCTTCCAAGCGATTCTAAACTGGTTCATGATGTCCCTGTATTTTTGACCGTTCGCTGGGAGCTTCAGTAGACAAGGGGCTATCAGAGTATCTTATATTAACTTTCTGGTTATTTATTAAAGCGCATGACTGAATAAAGTTCAAATACCTCTTTCCCGGATCACGCGCTCACATTGACTCCCGCAAAAGTCTTGACTCGACAATGCATAATCTCGGTTACAACTTAAACACAGTTGATTACTTCTTTCGGTTATTAAATTCTGCCAATTAGGAGTTTGATCCCGACAAGTCCTCGAACACCAAAGGGAACGCGGATAAACGCGATTAGTCTAGTTAATATCAAATGATGACGGATTATTTATAAATTAAGCGCGAATTTGGTCATAATCATGAATTTCAAAAAAGGTGACTAATTTAATTACCTTGCATTGTAAGCACATTGGTAGATTTCTGCACTTCTGCCATCCACAAAATTCGGACCCCGTGATTCGAGGGAACTCCTTGCATTGTATGCATGGACTGGAAAATCCCGTTGTTAACGCCTCTCGACGACAATCGTCACTGCAATATTCGCTTGGAAAACCGTCGGTATCGGTGTCTACCTTATTTTGACTACAATTTAAACAGATTGCGTCTTTCTCTGGTGGTTCATAGGTTTTTGTAGTTTCAGTCGGAGGAATATCGTATGGCTCTGGAATTAAAACAGTACTTCGATTTGGACTGATTATTGAAGGGATATATGGTTGATTTATTGGGGAGTAGGTTTGTGGTGGTAAAGTCTGTAGCGGAACATGCGTATTTACAGGCGGAGGTTGTCGATATATCGTCGGCTGAGGTTGTTGATACATCGTCGACGGATACATCGTCGGCGGAGGCGATTGATACATCGTCGACGGAGGTTGTTGATAGACTATCGGCGGAGGTTGCATGGGTTGTGTGGATTTTTGTTCAGAATCCTTAAAATCAATTTTCCTGATTAATATTCTTTCAATCACCGATCCAATCCTTTTTTCTATTTATATCAAACACGTGGAAAAAAAGTAGTTTGCAAACTCTGGAATTACCATACAACAACTCGCACCACTTCCCATTGTAAATGCTTTTGTAGAAAAAATTCGCAAGACGCTTGAAATATCTTATACCCGAATTAATAAATAATAAATAAAAAAATTTTCAATGTTTTGACTTTAGCGTATTTTTATATTTGAAAACAAAGGAGAATTCGAAGAATCCAACGTTGTACATCTGTTGAATTTTTGCAGTTGTGTGCAAAAATTTGTTTGTGGCTTAACGTTTCTTGCACTCAATTCCCTAAAATAATGTCAATCATTGACAAAAATTCTAATGGTATAAAAAGTCGGAGGACTTTCTACTCCGACCGTGAGTATCACAGTATGGATGAGTTAGACTGAGCTAAATTACAATGTCAATTCGTAATATACTCCCTTTGAATAAGCACAACCCCTGTTTGAACCGCCATTGTTTTCCCGCATTTGGAAATTCGCGAAATTATTATTTTATATTTAAGTATCATTGTCTTTACACTCAAAGAAACTATTTAATTATTCTGCACTTATCATTATCAGGTCAAACCGTTATATAAAAAAGGAAATGTTTAATAATTTTATTTTTGAAATTTATAAACAGGTTCAAAAATCACCAGGTTTCCTTATATTCGAAACTTTTGAAAATAAATAAAAAACAAACAAAAAAAGAAAATAATAACAAAGATGTTATAAAACATTGTTAATAAAATTTACTAAAAATGCAAAAGTTTTATAAATTTTATATTAATGCCAAAAATTATTATTATATACTGTATATATTAATTTAAATATAATTTCTTTTATAGGTTAAATATATATTTTTTTATTTTATTTAAAAAGCTAAAGTGTAATACATGCATGGTTTTTATTATACATGTGGTGGATTTATATTTTTGATTTTCAAATTAATATGATTTTTAATAATAATACAATATTTTATTCGAATTAAATAAGAAATTGTAATTAATAAGAAATCATAATTGAAATCATAACTGTAATTATAATTAATAACAAATCATAATTAATAAAAAACTATAAGAAATTATAATTGACAATAAATTGAGACCAGTTCAAAACAAGATCTGATGCAAAACATCTGGAATGCAGGCTACTCTGATATGAGAACATCAAGTGCCAATACAAGAAAAAAGATATATAATCAACCAGAGATAATATAAATTTATTTGCAATAGGCATCATAGCCAACCAATCAAATCTAAGAAAATAAAAATTTATTTTAACAATTATGGATCAAGAAATCTTCATAGGTAAAGTGAATAAAAGAGTTTGTATCACAAGCAACCATTTTAAAGCTCAATACTATATATATAATACAGATAACTCTCCAATTATTTAATGCAAAAAATATGGAAAAAATATATTAGGTAAAGCAAACAAATGTATAAGAAAACTAAACTTGAAAGATATAATTATAATTCCAGCAGTAAAGAGAATAATATGGCTTAAAGTAGATAAATCCAATCCTAGGAAACATATCATGTATAATGAAATTACTAAATTTGATTAAAAACAGATATCTCTGAAATCAATTAAAATTAAAAAAATAAGAAGAAGTCTAAATAATTGTTGAAAAAATATTAGCAAATAAATCAAACACAACAGAGATACTTCCAATAACACTAAAGAACAATGTAGAGAAAGAGATGAAAAAAATTAGGGAAAAATTTTAAAATTGGAAAAAAGTAAAAATATATACTGATGGATTATTAGAAAAATACAATCATAACCAAATCAAAATAGGAATTGGTGAAATAATAATAAATAAGGAAACACAAAAAAATCAAAAATTCAAAGGGAAATATAAAGGATATTCATTTTCAACATGTGCAAAACTTATTGCAATTCTTGTGGCACTAATATTGATAAATTTAAAAACAAAATCTTTACAAATAATTAATATATAATATATATGATCAAGAACTAAAAATTCAACAAGAAGAAAATAATAAAGACTACAAACATAATCACAATAACATTAATAAAAGAAAAGATAGAAATACAACAGTAATAATAAAATTGGAAAAGGTTAAAGCATATATAAAAAATATATACAACAATAGGGCAGATGAGTTGGTGAAGAAAAGAAGTTAGAAAATGGATAAATAATAGGAATAAACAGTTGGCAGATTAGAAATCTAACATGTACACTTTAATAAAGAAAACAGAACTTGAATATTGGGTAGACAAATTCATGAAACAATAATATAATAGCAAATAGATAAGTAAATAAATCATATAGAGACAATACAAGGCCTGGCTCAAATCAAGAGATAAGATTGAAAAAGAATCTAGATAAACCTAGCATCACCAAAAATTACTAGTTACAAAACAAATCAAAAGAATTATAATAATTAATTGTTTAAATACAAACTACTAAACAAGGAGCTGCTTATAAAAGACAAACTATATAAAAGAAAATCAAAAATCTATAAAGATAACAAATGTATATGGTATAAAAAAATAAAGATGATAGAATATATCTTTAAAGATCATTTCAAAAAACAACTAATTTCAAGTAAAGTGAGCAAAAAAAAGAAAAGAGTTGGTGTTGGCAAAAAAAGATCAAAAAGCTAGTCCCAAAATTAGAAAAAAATGACAGATTCACAATTAAAAGAATATAGAGCAATGACATTACAAAAATAATAAGTCAAATAAATAGACAAAAAGTCAAAGAAATCTTAAAAGTAATATCAAACAAGATAACATTAGAACTAAGAAGAGTTTGACAAATGAGATATAAAAAATTTTAATAATAAAAAAAAAAGAATAATATTATAAAAGAAAATATAAAAGCAAAAGATATTATAGCAACAATAAAAAGAATAAAGACAACAAAAAAAAAAAAGTACAAGGGAAAAAAAGAAAAAAGAAGGGACAAACAGAATTCAAAGAAAAGTTAATAGATGGATGACTTAACCTGAAAAAGAATATAGCAGTAGAGAGATTTACTATATATATAATAATAATACTAACAAAGTTTTGATACATTAGTCTTAACAAATACTGCAAGAAATAGGTCATAACAATAAGCTGATATAGAAAACTTAATATAGTCTAGCATATAATACAATAGTTTATAGATAATATTATATATATATATATATATATATTTTAACAGGTGGCTTACAATAATATTTCATATATTAAATCATAGATATAAACTAATAAAATATGCTAGACAAACTCCAGACCTTCAACACTTCTCGACCTCGAAACCATAATCAAAGCCAACAAAAAACTCAAAAAACTCGACCAATTT